GTATCCACCAACTTTAGTCTTGCACAAAAGCTAGCTATCTCACTACTTTCTAATGGCCAAGTTGTTTAACTAAGGTTCTACGATCAGTTAGTGCTTCATGACACCACACAACGGCCCAGTATTTTCCTTGACTGGACTCAAGGGACACCGGTACCAACAAACATTTCGCACTAACATAGCCATCACTTCAAACGTGTCGGTATTACGCCGCCTAGTCCCCACGATCTATTGCTACTTACCTAATGTACCCTAGATCCGGGTAGAAGATCTATTAAAAACACAAACAACCCTTTTAAGATTAAAGTAAGCAAGTCAAGCAATTAAAGCATTTAAATGTGAACTAATCTCTAAGGTAACCCCACTTTTAAGTTTTTCCCTAGCAGAGCCGACCGTTCTATAATACGGTGGGAGAACTGACTTGGCAGTTTCATGTTTTATCGCAATTATTACAGATAGCAAGAGTCTCCATCGACTTTTATTTTATCCTATAAAGGAAAGGGTGAAAAGAACAGGAAATACCTTTTTAGAATTTTCTTGAGTTCGGGGGGTAGGTTATGAAAAGGGAAGATGTTAGTACCCTTTTCATCCGTAGTTATCTACGGGCTCATATTTGCTAGATCACTTTTGAAATGCTTTGCAAAATATGTTTTTGTTTGTTTGAAAGTATTTTTGAAAAGTGCATTTATTTAGGTGAACTTTGTAATGATTCTCGTCTCTATAAGAATGTATATAAAGTGTTGACTTTTGAAAATATTTCATGAAAGTGTTGGTGTGTTTGAAAGATGTTTTGTTTTTGAAATGTTTGTGAGCAAACAACTACGAGCATTCTACCTACTCAAAAGAAGTATTTGTTCTTTTCTTCTTCCTTTAGATAGTTTTATCTTACCATTAGTCGGTAAGAAACCATATCATTGGATGTGAAGGGACAGACGTGGGTCGTCGTACAGTCATAGAAGGAAACATTTGTAGGATACCTTAGAAATTTGTTATAAGGGACTAAGATCGTTTACCAAAGGCAACATCAAAGGGTCATCGAGGGACTACGATCTTGTAATCGAGGGTCTTTGCTAAAGTATCCCACGTTCGAGGGACATGACTATTTTTATACGAGGCAACAAGTGTGGTTTACCCTATAGGTGCATGTGTGCAAAGTGTTTTTTTATTCATGTATTTATCTTGTCTTAGGGTTTTCTAGTTTTGATTTTAAGTCTTGCCATACAAACCCTAATTACTAGCAATAATATGAAAAGAGATAAATTGCGGAAAGTAAATGTCCTACGCTATTACAACGCTTTGAGAATGGGGAGTACAAATTACAAATGAGGATGGAAAGCAATAAAACCCTAATTACTATTACAAACTAATGAATATGAATAGTAATAAAATGTACAAAAATGTAATTATAAAGAAGGAAAAGAAATTGTTTTTGTGGTTTTTTATGGAATGAGTTTTAAGATTAATCTAAAACTAATTAATTTACAAGGGAAGTTAATTAATTATTTAACAAAACCTAAAATCTAAGTTAATTAAAATAAACCCTAAGTTTAATTTAATTGTTTAGAAAATAATTTTGGTTAATATTAATGTGGAAAACAAAATGTTTTATAATGTAAAAGAAAATAATAGAGTTTAATTTTTATAGTAATAAAATAAATACTTGAATTGAAATATTTAAGAAGAATATATGTCTTTGTGTTTTTTAGAAATAAAACCTTTAAAATGTACTATCTTGATTTAATTATAAATAATGAAAATAAAAATATTTTATGTGATACTTTTTTATATTCATAAAATAAAGATGATAAATGAGTAGTGTGCAAAAAATCAACTCAAAAGGAGTTGTTTTGATTGGTTTAAAGAAATGTTGAAGTTTGATAAAAAAATGTGAAATAAACAAGTGATAAAAAATAAGCTTGGTCCTGCCAATGCTTGAACTCAGGATCTCTAAGTTATTGGCTCAAAAGCTTACCACCAGGCCACACGCGTATGCTTGTCAAAAAAATGCTTGCATGATATTATATGTGAAACCTGCCTTCTGAAATCACAAAATCACAAAATAACACAAAATATGCAAAAGGGAGGGGGTTCACATTGGTTCAAACCCACGCCCTTATGGCCAGAGGTACTTGAAAACACGCGCGCTTTCCACTGGGGTGGTTGTTTCATACATTTATAAAACAACTACCAATAAATATAAAATAAACACATTTTCAAAATTTTATTTTTCTCTTCTTCTTCCCTGCATCCATCGTTACTGTTACTGTAACAACATATTTCCATTTTTTTTCAAAAAAATTCTAACTTCCTCATTTCTCAACCAAATAAAGAGTTGTAAAAACCAAACTTGCTTGATTTTGAACAAGGAATCCAACCATGTAATTATTAAGAGCTATAAATAAAATGTTTTCATGAATTTCCTATTGGTACCAAACAAAAACCTAAATGTCCAAAAAATTCAGTTTCAAAATTCTCATCTCATAGTCAATAAAAATGAAATATAAAGATATGGTTAAATTTATAGACATGATATCTACATAAAGTAAGTGAAAATGATGCTTGTATCAAGATTTCAAAGTTGGAAAAACTTACCTCTTGATGCAATATTTCAATGTCCTCTACACGACTTCCAGAAGTAATATGATGATTGCTTTACCTTCCTGGGACCTTAGTGAGTATGTTGCAACCCTTACTTTGTCTTGAAAGTGTCTGGGTTGGTCTACACAAGTTAAGTTGCAATGGAGGATTTTGAAAATGGTGGATGATGAAAATGATGTTACAGTGAGGAAACAGGGGTATGGATAGCTTATATATAATATATATGAAGTGTTTGGATGATTTGTTTGGACAATAGTTACAAGAGTGATGAGTTTCGAAGTTAAGGTTTCAAAAGCTTTAAAAATGGTGATTTTTGGTCAATTTTGAATTGGAAGAGATTGAGGGGTTTAAGGGCTTGTTTCTTCGTCTTCTTGGTTGCAAAATAGTGTTTCTATTTATAGGGAAAGGTTGGAGAAGCTCAAGTTGATAAGAATTCAAAATCACATGTTAAGCTCAACATGTGATTTTCTTGAAAAGAGTGGTTAAACACTTTAAACATGTTGCTTCTGACTTTGTAGATTGAGTGTGTGCAGAAGAAACAAGTTAGAGGCTCAAGGAGTGGACTTTTGCAAAAAGCTAGCTTTTCAAGAATGGAAATGGTACCTTTCTCCCATAAATGGCAAGATGCATTGGACAATGATTGAATCAAGTGGAACATAACTCAAAGGTTTGTGTAAAAATTTAATTATGGTGATATTTTCAAGTTAAGAGGCCTGCAAAGTAAGATTATGCAGCATGGCATGAGATTGGATAATTGTTCTTCATGAAAAATGACCTATAATCCATGGTTATATGTTTGTTTTATTTTTCAAACATATTTTTAAAAACTAATATATATATATATATATATATATATATATATATATATATATATATATATATATATATATATATATATATATATATATATATATATATATATATATATATATATATATATATATATATATATATATATATATATATATATATATATATATATATATATATATATATATATATATATATATATATATATATATATATATATATATATATTAGTTTTTAAAAATATGTTAGAAAAATAAAACAAATTTTGTGGCGGATAACTTAATCATTTACGAAACATTAAATTCATCTAATATTTTTCTAACAAAATTTGTTTTATTTTTCTAACATATTTTTAAAAACTAATGTATATATATATATATATATATATATATATATATATATATATATATATATATATATATATATATATAATTGGTTTTAAAAATATTATTCTAATATTATTCTAAAAATGATTAATTAACACATTTTGCAGGTTTTTACTTCACCCATTGTGGATAATTTTTGCGGTAACCACTAGGGATGAGTACAATTTTCATCTCTAATTATATTGAATTTCGAACCTTAACTTTTTTTTTAAAATTTTAATATAGTGAAACTGTTGCATCTAATCAACTAGATCAAGTGATTTTTTACCTTTTATAATTAGACAATTGGTCATCTCTAATTAGTTTAATTTTTTAACTTTTTATTTCTAAATTGTGTTTCCTTTCTACAAAGTGTCAATTTAAAATTCACAATAAAGAAATTTTATATATCTATTTCCCAATACCATGTGATTGTCGAATATGGTCTAAAATTTTAGAAATTTTAACCTTTAGACTTTACACTTAAGCGTGTATCAATTTTAAGTGCCAATTTCTCTAATGCAGTCAATTCACACATTTGAAGTATTAATGGATGTTCGATCAAAGACTAATGGTCTAAAAATTGACTGATTTCAACTTTAAGATTATAATTTTAAATTAAAAAAATAAAATATGAATTGCTCGATCTTGATCAAACAATCACTAATACTCAAAATACGTGTACAACGATTATAGAGAAACTTGGTGTGTCGCATTTCCTTAGCACTCATTATAGAGCAAACATATAATCTTATGCCAAATATATAATCTAAAGAAGAAATTAAGCTCCTCAATTGAAATATGAAATCAGTTGATAGTACTCCTTATTAGTGAAACCCAATAAAATTAAGTTGCCATAATATCTCTAAGACAATGCACAATTTGCGTTTAACCCAACATTAAACACTTACTCATCTATAAATGAAAAATAAATTATACATTGTTATAAAAGAGATACATACATGTAAAGTCGTATATGTATAAATCGACATGAGAAAAACAAAACATAACAATATGTTATAATATTTATTATTTCTTAATTAAAGAAGATAACAAAATTATCATTAAGCATACAAAGTCTGCAATCAACAAAAATAAAATTTAGACAAAAACAAGCATAGAAAAGGACCAACAATGTAAAATGGGTTTTTATGCAATTTTATTAAAACCACTCTCAGATTTCATTGATCCACGAAACAATTAAGGATGCAACAAATGTTTCTGATAAAATTATGGTGGAAACATTTGACCTTGTAGAGGAATTAATTGGTGTTTGATAGGGATGTTAGATGGTGAAACACTGTCAACAAAAAATGGAAGAGTTTGAGTATGAGTATCTTGAATTACAAGGTTAATAGCATTTTGTGCAATAAGGTATCTAAGATCCTCCATAGACTTCTTGAACATTTCAAGTTGAGCCCAATTCATCTTATCAATTGAACAAGTCCACCAAAACTGAGCCTCAAACTCTTTGTGCAAATGGCTCAGTTCATCACCAAGTTTCTTTTCAATGTCTAGTGTGTTATTGATTTGAGTCAATTGAGTATTGATCTCACACACGCTAGCTTTACGACGAGCCTTAATGAATTCCATGATGTCATTGTTTTGTTGTGGAAATCGATAGAGATAATGATCTATGATTGTATCAATATTGGGGTGACCAAACGAAAATACCTTTTCACTAGGTGAGAATACAACAAAAGCAATTTGTGCATCACATAGGGTGCAAAGTTCACTGACTTTCTTGAAGAGTTCGCTACGTTGTCTTGAGAAAGTCACTTGCAGGTTACTCTCGTTGCTCATCTTTTTCATTTCGATCTTTTGACAACCTTGACATTTCCTTCCGCATGACATGTTTAAAGCACAAATGATAGAAGAAAAAAAGAGAGGTGGTATGTTTGTAATTTTAAATTAAGAAATGGCATATAGAAATTGGGTATGAAGGAGTCATTTTATAACCAAATTTTGTGTGTATGTATTTTCTTTCTTGTATTCTGATTTGTCTTAGAAAACCAAATTGCGACAATATATTTCAAACGTTGTACCTTTTCGTAACTTTTAATATTTACTACATTAAGAATCATCATAAAGTCTCTTTTATATAGTTTATATGACTAAAAAATTAGTGGATGAAAAATGACGCTCTTTTGCCAATTTGTATATATTATATTTTATTTAGAACGATTGATAAGTTGTATTTAAATATTTCCATGAAATTGATAATTCAATCATATTATTAATGTATTTATTTTAAAAATCTCAAGAAATTCAAATACATTAGATGAATTTAATGTTTCGTACATGATTAAGTTATCCGCCACAAAATTTGTTTTATTTTTCTAACATATTTTTAAAAATTAATATATATATATATATATATATATATATATATATATATATATATATATATATATATATATATATATATATATATATATATATATATATATACTAGGTTTGAAAAATATTATTCATATATTATTCTAAAAATGATTAATTAACACATTTTGCAGGTTTTTACTTCACCCATTGTGGATAATTTTTGCGGTAACCACTAGGGATGGGTACAATTTTCATCTCTAATTATATTGAGTTTCGAACCTTAATTTTTTTTTTAATATAGTGAAATCGTTGCATCTACTCAAATAGATCAAATGATTTTTTTACCTTTTATAATTAGACAATAGGTCATCTCTTATTAGTGTAATTTTTTAACGTTTTATTTCTAAATTGTTTTTCCTTTCTACAAAGTGTAAATTTAAAGTTCACAATAAAGAAATTTTATATATCTATTTCCCAATACCATGTGATTGTCGAATATGGTCTAAAATTTTAGAAATTTTAACCTTTAGACTTTACACTTAAGCGTGTATCAATTTTAAGTGCCAATTTCTCTAATGCGGTCAATTCACACATTTGAAGTATTAATGGATGTTCGATCAAAGACTAATGGTCTAAAAATTGACTGATTTCAACTTTAAGATTATATGACTAAAAAATTAGTGGATGAAAAATGACGCTCTTTTGCCAATTTGTATATATTATATTTTATTTAGAACGATTGATAAGTTGTATTTAAATATTTCCATGAAATTGATAATTCAATCATATTATTAATGTATTTATTTTAAAAATCTCAAGAAATTCAAATACATTATATGAATTTAATATTTCGTACATGATTAAATTATCCGCCTCAAAATTTGTTTTATTTTTCTAACATATTTTTGAAAACTAATATTTATATATATATATATATATATATATATATATATATATATATATATATATATATATATATATATATATATATATATATATATAATAGGTTTGAAAAATATTATTCTAATATTATTCTAAAAATGATTAATTAACACATTTTGCAGGTTTTTACTTCACCCATTGTGGATAATTTTTGAGGTAACCACTAGGGATGAGTACAATTTTCATCTCTAATTATATTGAGTTTCGAACCTTTAATTTTATTTAATTTCAATATAGTGAAATCATTGCATCTACACAACTAGATCAAGTGATTTTTTACCTTTTATAATTAGACAATTGGTCATGTCTAATTAGTGTAATTTTTTAACTTTTTATTTCTACAAAGTGTCAATTTAAAGTTCACAATAAAGAAATTTTATATATCTATTTCCCAGTACCATGTGATTGCCGAATATGGTCTAAAATTTTAGAAATTTTAACCTTTAGACTTTAAACTTAAGCGTGTATCAATTTTAAGTGCCAATTTCTCTAATGCGGTCAATTCACACATTTGAAGTATTAGTGGATGTTCGATCAAAGACTAATGGTCTAAAAATTGTCTGATTTCAACTTTAAGATTATAATTTTAAATTAAAATAAAATAAAATATGAATTGCTCGATCTTGACCGAACGACCACTAATACTCTAAATACGTGTACAAAGATTGTATAAAAATATGGTGTGTCACATTGCATTTGCACTCATTATAGAGCATGCATATAATCCTATGCTAAATATATAATCTAAAGCAGAAATTAAGCTCCACAATTGAAATATGAAATCAGTTGAAAGTACTCCTTATTAGTGAAACCCAATAAAATTAAGTTGCCATAATATCTCTAAGACAATGCACAATTTGCATTTAACCCAACATTAAACACTTACTCATCTATAAATGAAAAATAAATTATACATTGTTATAAAAGAGATACATACATGTAAATTCCGATATGTATAAATCGACATTAGAAAAACAAAACTTAACAATATGTTATAGTATTTATTAATTCTTAATTAAAGAAGATAACAAAATTATCATTTAGCATACAAAGTATGCAATCAACAATAATAAAATTTTGACAAAAACAAGCATAGAAAAGGACCAACAATGTAAAATGGTTTTTTATGCAATTTTATTAAAACCACTCTCAGATTTCATTGATCCACGAAACAATTAAGGATGCAAAAAATGTTTCTGACAAAATTATGGTGGAAATATTTGACCTGGTTGAGGAATTAATTGGTGTTGGAAAGGGATGTTAGACGGTGAAACACTGTCAACACAAAATGGAAGAGTTTGAGTATGAGTATCCTGAATTACAAGGTTAATAGCATGTTGTGCAATAAGGTTTCTAAGCTCCTCCAAAGCCTTCTTGAACATTTCAAGTTTAGCCTAATTCATCTTATCAATTGAACAAGTCAACCAAAACTGAGCCTCAAACTCTTTGTGCAAATGGCTCAGTTCATCACCAAGTTTCTTTTCAATGTCTAGTGTGTTATTGATTTGAGTCAATTGAGTATTGATCTCACACACGCTAGCTTTACGACGAGCCTCAATGAATTCCACGATATCGTTGTTTTGGGTGGAAATCGATAGAGATAACGATCTATGATTGTATCAATATTGGGGTGACCAAAAGAAAATACCTTTTCTCTAGGTGAGAATACAACAAAAGCAATTTGTGCATTACATAGGGTGCAAAGTTCACTTTACTTCTTGAAGAGTCCGCTACGTCGTCTTGAGAAATTCACTTGCAGGTTTCTCTCGTTGCTCATCTTTTTCATTTCAATCTATTGACGACCTTAAAATTTACTTCCGCATGACATGATTAAAGCACAAATGATAGAAGATAAAAAGAGAGGTGGTATGTTTGTAATTTTAGGCTAAGAAATGGCATATAGAAATTGGGTATGAAGGAGTCATTTTATAGCCAAATTTTATGTGATTGTATTTTCTTTCTTGTATTGTTATTTGGCTTAGAAAACCAAATTGCGGAAATATATTACAAACGTCGTACCTTTATGTAACTTTTAAAATTTACTAAATTAAGAATTATCATAAAGTCTCTTTCATATAGTTTATATGACTAAAAAATTAGTGGATGAAAAATGACGCTCTTTTGCCAATTTGTATATATTATATTTTATTTAGAACGGTTGATAAGTTGTATTTAAATATTTCCATGAAATTGATAATTCAATCATATTATTAATGTATTTATTTTAAAAGTCTCAATAAATTCAAATACATTAGATGAGTTTAATGTTTCGTACATGATTAAGTTATCCGCCACAAAATTTGTTTTATTTTTCTCTCTCTCTCTCTCTCTCTCTCTCTCTCTCTCTCTCTATATATATATATATATATATATATATATATATATATATATATATATATATATAATAGGTTTGAAAAATATTATTCTAATATTATTCTAAAAATGATTAATTAACATATTTTCTAGGTTTTTACTTCACCCATTGTGGATAATTTTTGCGGTAACCACTAGGGATGAGTACAATTTTCATCTCTAATTATATTGAGTTTCGAACCTTAATTTTTTATTCATTTTAATATTGTGAAATCATTGCATCTACTCAACTAGATCAAGAGATTTTTTACCTTTTATAATTAGACAATTGGTCATCTCTAATTAGTGTAATTTTTTACTTTTTATTTCTAAATTGTTTTTCCTTTCTACAAAGTGTCAATCTAAAGTTCACAATGAAGAAATTTTATATATCTATTTCCCAATACCATGTGATTGTCGAATATGTTCTAAAATTTTAGAAATTTTAACCTTTAGACTTTGCACTTAAGCGTGTATCAATTTTAAGTGCAAATTTCTCTAATGCGGTCAATTCACACATTTGAAGTATTAATGGATGTTCGATCAAAGACTAATGGTCTAAAAATTGTCTGATTTCAACTTTAAGATTATAATTTTAAATTAAAAAAATAAAATATGAATTGCTCGATCTTGACTGAACGATCACTAATACTCTAAATACGTGTACAAAGATTGTAGAAAAATATGGTGTATCATATTGCCTATGCACTCATTATAGAGCATGCATATAATCCTATGCCAAATATATAATCTAAAGCAGAAATTAAGCTCCACAATTGAAATATGAAATTAGTTGAAAGTACTCCTTATTAGTGAAACCCAATAAAATTAAGTTGACATGAGAAAAACAAAACATAACAATATGTTATAATATTCATTAATTCTTAATTAAAGAAGATAACAAAATTATCATTAAGCATACAAAGTCTGCAATCAACAAAAATAAAATTTAGACAAAAACAAGCATAGAAAAGGACCAACAATGTAAAATGGTTTTTTATGCAATTTTATTAAAACCACTCTCAGATTTCATTGATCCACGAAACAATTAAGGATGCAACAAATGTTTCTGATAAAATTATGGTGGAAACATTTGACTTGGTTGAGGAATTAATTGGTGTTGGAAAGGGATGTTAGATAGTGAAACACTGTCAACACAAAATGGAAGAGTTGTAGTATGAGTATCCTGAATTACAAGGTTAATAGAATGTTGTGCAATAAGGTTTCTAAGCTCCTCC